CCCAAGGCTCACCTCACCCCACCCCATGGGCTGCATTCTATGTTCTTTTTGCAAAGACCTTAGCTAGGCAAGCTAATGATGATAAGGGAAAAGCTCTCAGGGAATTGATGTGTTGTTGCCATGGTGACGTCCTTCCGCTGAATAAAGGTGCTCTTTGCAGCAACCCCAGGGGCCTTAGTCTTGCTTGGGAGTTGGGTCTGAGCCACCCGTCCATCAAGGTCACTCCAGGGGACACTCAGATGAGGGCAGGGGAAGCTGGCTCATGCCATGGAGAAGGTGGTTGATAGGCATCCTACAAGCCGACTATTGGGGAGGGAAGCTTGGCGTTAAAAATGGGTGAGAGTGAACAACTCCGTGCAGGTTTGTCACTGGTGGGTGGCCACCATGATGGGAGGAGGGGGGCTGGGCAGAGCTGATGGAGGTAGCTGCTTGTTCAGGTCTGTTAAGGTTGTGGTGCCATTGTTAATACTGCTTGTGACAGCTAGGAGTGCAGCTCTTCCTGCAGGAGGGACAGTGGCTTTGGTGGGCTAGCCAGAGACCCATTTTGCAGACAGGAAAACTATGACTCAAAGCAGGTTAATTCAGTGTGCCCTAGGTCAGGCAGCCAGGCTGACAGTCCCTAGATCTCGGTGACTATTAACCTTGCCAACACTGCCTCGCCTCGCATCTGTCATAAGTTTGGAGGTATCCTCTGGGGATGGGCGCAAGCGGAGAGCTGGTGAGGACGCCTATTTTTCTGAGGTTCTCCAGGGAGCTTCCTCAAATCCAGCCACGAAGGGTGGGGAGGGAGGGTGGCTGAGCACGGGGATTCCCCACCCTACCCCCTTCCTGTGGTCTCCTTGCTTCCTCTTTACAGTGTAGCTCCTTGAGGCTGGCAGACTGGTGTCTGCCACCTACTGCCCCTCTGCAGGTGCCTGCCTGCTCTGACCTGGATCCAGGCTCATCTGGAACTCTGTGTCCTCACTACTGGCCACCTCTGTGTCCTCTGCCTCCTTCCCTACCCCACCCCTGATTAGAGATCTGCCCCTTCCCACTCCACCAGAAACTTAGCACAAATGGCTCAGCACCCGCAAGCGAGGCTGGGCATGACCCTTGCTCGTAACCGCTCTTGCCTTGCGGGGCACCTGGCCAGATCCTGACCCCCACCTTGGCCCTGCAGTTTGACTTTTTAAGGCCGGAGGCAGCTGCCTGCAGATTTTGGAGTAGGGGATGGGGAGAGAGGACCCTCAGCCGTGGCCATTGTCTTCAGCATGTCGTGCCTGGTGGTGGTGGCTCAGGGCCCCACTTATGGATGAGGAAGCTGACATTTGCTAGGGGGTGGAAAGGTCATGGTGGAACAGTCTGTGGGCCTCCTTCCTGCCCGGATGAGTCAGAGGCCTGTTGCCCTCTGCCCTGGTCCTCACAGAGTCTCCTGCAGTTGGCATCAGCCTCCGCACAGAGCTGGAAAGCACAACAGCTACACTGGCCCTGGTGGGCATGGAGTGGGGGCTTCAGCCAGGGTTGGGTTCCCAGTGGAATTGGAATGGAGTCAAAAAAATTTCATCATGGTGGATCCTGATCCTGGAGGGACATGGTAGCAGCAAGGAGCATGGTGGGAACCCCGTGAGGTGGCAGAGGTCTCTTACCCTAGTATTAGAGGCTGAGGCAGGAGGATCATGAGATCAGGGCTAGCTTGGGCTACAAAGTGAGGTATCTGAGAAACCGGAGCCAAGTAGGAAGGAGCCCAGGAAGGGCATAGCCAGTAGCCTCAACTACTTCTCCCATGTAGCTGACCAGGTGAGCTTTTTCCCTCAGAAGGGAAGCAAGCCGATCTATTTATTTATTTGTTTGTTTGTTTAATTCTGGGTGGGGGTTTTGAGACAGGGTTTTTCTATGTAGCCCTGGCTATCCTGGAACTCTCTCTTGTAGGCCAGGCTGGCCTCTAACTCAGAGCTACACCTACCCCAGCTGGGGATTAAAGGCATGCCCTACCAACTGGCTGCACGTTTATTTCTAAGGCCCACTTCCATGCATGTCTGAGCAAGAGTCCTCCTCTTAGGTCAGCTACTCAGGCAGGGAAGGAACTCATTTTCTCTTCCAGGTGCATCAGGGTGCATCCTGGTCATTAACACGCAACCCAGGCTGAGAGCGCCAGGAGGGGCCCAGTCATGGGGTCCTGTCCCAAACCACCCTTCATGGAGAGCTTCCAAAAGTAAAACTGCAAGCCAAGCATCCCAGTGGCTCATGACTGCACTCTCTGCACTTGGGAGACAGAGGCAGGACTGCGAGGGTCCAAGACCAGCCTAGGCTACCTGCAGAACAATGTGACCCCCCCAATAAAAGTCGAACTGCAATCGCAAGTTATAGGGTGTTAGGGAGGGTGCTGAATGCAGCCTCAGCCCCCAGCTTCCTCTCTCATGCTGAGTGGTAGGAGCAGTGGCAAGGACTAGCTGAGCTGGGTCTGGGGGAGGGCTGCAGGGTGGGGTTGCCGTTTTCAACTTCCCTCTCTGAACTTCCCTCCCCACTGGGGTCAGCAGGGCTGACTTCCTGGAAGAGGTGCCTCGCTGCTGGAGCCGGAAGGCCAAAACCACAGAGTATGAGCAAAAGTCAGCTAACATGAGCGTGTGCTGTGTGTGTGTGTGTGTGTGTGCGCGCGCGCGTGAGCGTGAGCGTGGCACAGCCCAGACAAAGCCACCCCAGAGTGGGGTTTGTGCGGAGATGGTCAGGGGCAGCCTGAGAAGGGCAATGAGCAATGGACCCGAGACTTCCACACTCTCCCTGCCAGAAATGGCCCTGACCTCTGATGTCAGAATCAGAGTCCAGTGTGTTTCCTCAGCCTGCTCTCCCTGACTTCTGGGCCTGAAGTCTCGGGAGGAAGCAGGAGGCGCAGAGCAGACAGCAGTTCAAAAGACTTATCAGCCAGGCCTGTGGCACACTCTTCTATTCTCCTATGCCCACCTGACCCAAGTTCTACTTTTTTGACCCCCCCCAAACCCACTTTTTTCCTTTTGACGATTGGCATAATAATAATAATTAATAATTAATAATAATATTGGGGCTGGAGAGATGGTTTGGCGGTTAAGAGCACTGGCTGCTCTTGCGGAGGACCCAGGTTTGAGTCCCAGCACTCACATGGCTGCTCACACTGGCTGTAACTCCAGTCCTAAGGGATGTAGCACCCTCTTCTGACCTCTGCAGGCACCAGGTATGCATGTGGTGCACAGACAGGCATACAGGCAAAGACTACCTACAGATATAGGTTCTTCCACTTCGTAGGACACAGGGACTAAACTTAGCAAATGCCGTAGCCAGCTGAGTCATCTCATTGGTCTTTTGATGCCTTTTTTATTGGTGTATTTTCATTGTTTACAGTAATTAATTTCATAAAAATAGCCCCATTCATCACGTGCTCTGACCGTATCCACCCCTTCTACTGTCTCCTCCCCCTCTTGGATAATCATTCTGCTTTGCACAGATAGTCCCACTTCTACTATCATCACACACACACACACACACATATACAAAGTCGTGCACATGCGCACACCGGGGCTGGCAATGCAGCTCAGTTGGTCGAATGCTTGCCAAGCACAAAGAAAAGCCATAGGTTCAATCCCTGGCACCACATGACCATCCTTGGCTACACAGAATTCAAGACCAGCCTGGACTTTGTCAAACAAACAGAGACTGGAGAGTCGGCTCAGTGGTTAAGAGCACTGGTTGCTCTTTCAGAGGACCCAGGCTCAAATCCCAGCATTCGAATGGTGGCTCAGAACGTTCCCCGGGGATATCTGGCCTGACGCCCTCTTTGGGCCTCTGTGGGTACTGCATGCATGCAAAACACCCGTACACATAACATAAAAATATTAAAATAAGTAAAACAAGAGAGGGAGAAAATATATATAATATCACCAACCCTGCTTTCTGCCCGATTACATAGACACTTGTCTGGAAGGGGCCCCAAGACTAAGAGGCACTCTATATTGGACCCTGGAGGTTGCATAGATGTCATGGAGTTTAGCGGACTCATTTGCAATGGTTCACCCAAATCCGGTGCCTCTGCCACTACCCATCATGGTCCTTGGGCGCCTCCTGGTGGCCACAGTTGATTATTTCCCCAGTCTGAGTCGCTGCTTTCCAGAAACCCTCCCCTGAATCTAGGGGTGAATAAAAAGAAATGCAGGCCTTTGCTTTGGCCTCAAAGTTCCATGTGATACTAAACATAGTCCCCAACTTCTGATTTATTCCTTTTTTTCCCCTTTGTAGTAGTGAGAATTGAACCTTGGGTCAACAATATACCTAGCGAATGATCAAACCACTGAGCACATTCCTAGACTTCTAATGTCGGATTGATGCAGTGTGAGTCAGGTGCAAGGCTCATGGGCTGTTCATGTGCTGGCTTTTGAGTGTGGCTCAAGCAGCAGGTGCCAGCAGAGTCACTGCTTGCTCTCCTCCCAAACAGAAACATGACCCACTGGAACCTCTGGGCATTTTGGATACAGACTATTGGGGACTTCTGAAAAGGACACCTATCATGGCTCCTGAGGGGGAACCAGTGCCTCCATGGGTGTTTGCTTTCCATGAACCTTGTTCCGGCTTTTCACATATAACCCCCTCACTGGGGGATTCTAGGCAGGGGCTCTACCACTGAGCCACACCCCAGCCTCTCACTGGGGGATTCTAGGCAGGGGCTCTACCACTGAGTCACACCCCAGCTTCTCAATGGAGCCTTACTCCAGTACAGAGCTGATTGATCTCCTGCTTCTATCCTTCCTCGATCCCTTCCTGATTTAGCAACTATAGCAATTCAGTTGAGATGAAGGTTAGATGGTGTCACTCTCTATGGCTCCCTCCCAGCCAGTAAGTTCCTGTCTCTACCCACGAAGTCCTGGCCCTATTGAATATGGTTGGTTCCCCACAGACCTCACTCAGGAGCCCTGTGTCCCTAGCCTGAGCTGCAGGCAGTCACCCTCTGTACAGTCTATGGCTCTGGATCCTCCAAGGTAGTTCAGGAAAGTCAGACCTCTTTTTCTTAAAATTGTTTATTTTAAAACATGAAACCCAAGCTGAATAGAGATCACAGAAATTACATGGACAAGAACTTTAGTTATTTGCCAAGAAAAATAAAGTTCCCCAAAGAAATAAAAATTGAACCCCAAACCCGGTTTAAAAAAAACAAAAACACAGCAACAGTAACACACAGCCATGGTCCTACAGAGGCTGGGGGGTAACTTGGGGCTGGCTCAATTCAGATGACATTGTCCACTGGGGGCAGATGCAGGCAGGGGGACAGTAACTGGGAGGCAAATCTCACAAACTCATATAGACGAGGAAGGGCATGGCATACCTTCATTATGATTCGAAACATACAAGAGACCCTGGTCACCTTTAGCCCAGGAGCTAACCACCTTCTGGGCTGGGCAGAGCTGGGACCTGGGTAGGGCAGGCATTGGGACGGGGCCAGGAATTGCATAGTGAGAGAGGGTGGGTGGGTGGGCGGGCACTGAGGGGAGGGTTTGGAGTTTGTTCCAGGCCAAGATCTGTGACTTAAGCTCTGTCTCACAGAAGAAGTCAGTATGCTTGTGGGGCATGGTGACCATCAGTCCTATCAGCATCGCTGTTTCAGCCAGATCCCTCCTGGCTTGGCTAGGGACCTGGGTCTGGTTTGGTGGCTCAGCCTTCCTTGTTACCCACCAGAGCTGTAGGATCCCCTGGGGTAAAAGTGGGGACCAGTCCCAGGCAGCTGGCACTGGACTGTTCACCCCCTGGAGGGGCTAGAGGGATTGAGGAGACAAAGGGCACCCCAAAAGTCAGAAAACAAAACAAAAACAAAAACCACAGTGGCGGGAGCCGTCTCCTCCATGGAGGTCAGGGTAGGAATCCCCTTGTTTCCTTTCTTCAGCCTCGGTGAGTGAAGAGTCACAGATAGGGGCACGCACGCACACGACGGTCAGGACTCCCAAGACAGCACAAGTTCACAGCCACATCCGGGCAGTGCCCGCCTCTCATGCTATATACATTCACCTTGTGGCCAGCTCACGGCCAGGGGGCAGCATTTGTGCTTCTGAGAGGCCCCAGGGCACACCCAGGCACCCAGGCGTGGGTGCCCCATGCCTCCCTCAGAACCTGAGGCCAGGAACACACTTACAATGGGCAGACTGGCCACAGCTGGGCCTCCCTGGCCCTCCCTGGCCCTGTAGATTCCTGGCACCAGCCCAGTTGGGGCCAAAGGCAGGGTCCCCTCCACTGAGGTTTTCTCATGCGCAGGAGCTACAGATGGCCAGACTTGGACCCTAGGCCCAGCGAGTCCTCTGCCGACTCCTTTTGGTCCCAGACACCAGCACAATGAAAGGGGTTGTTGGAAGGAAGGGAATGCAGAGCTCTCCCCTCTGGGGAGAGCTGAAGCCTGGGGTTCTGGGATCTGTAGCTGCCAGGTTTGCTCCCGGAGGACCACAGGTCTGTAAACCACCTCCTGTCACGGGGCCCCGGCCTTGGTTACCTATACATGCTGCTTGCTCCAAGCCCTATAGCTGCCCACCCCACAGGCCAGAGCTCCCATTGGCTGGCTGGGCCAGGGTAGAGGCTCCAGGTCCTGATCTGAGAGCTGATCCGGCTCCTCACAGCAGGAAGCACAGCAAACATCACACACTAAAGCCAAAAGCACCTTAGGGGAGCAGTGTTTCAGGGTGGGGACTGAGGTCAAACGGGCTTCAGTCCACAGTTCCTGGGACATGCTCCTCCTGGGGCAGCACCTGCCTGGGGAGGGGTCTCGAGGCCCTTGAGTTGCCTGTGGGTCTGGCCCCTCCCTGGCAGCACCCCACAAAGAAATGACGACTCTAGCCCTGGCTCCAGGCTAGACTTAGGGTCATGCTTGCTGGCTCAGGGTCAGCCAGGAGTGCCCGTGGCAGCTGAGAGTGAGGTTAGTGGTTAATCCCAACAACGGCATCCTGAGGCTGGGGGCGCATTCACAGCCATCTCAAGTCCAGCCCTCAAGGCTCCAGAGGGCGCTGCCGCTTTTCCTGGGCAAGAATGGAACTGAGAGGGAAGGGGAGTGGGCAGTGTCCTGCTTCTCCTATGCCCCAGACTGCCCTGGAGATGATAAATGCGGTCTGTGCAAAAACCAACGGATGAAGCTGCCACTCTTCGGGATGAATGGGAAAGAGGGTTTGGCACCAAGAAGGCGGCCAGCACTGAGGGGCCAGGGAGTGACCTGGGCTCTGTGTGGCACCTGCTGTCTGGGGAGAGCTGGCTGGGCGCTGAGGGAGAGAATCATGGGAGTAGAAGGTGCAGGAAGAGCCCCACCCTGGAGGCAGCTCAGAACTGACAGGAAGGGCCAAGTAAGTCGGGTGGGAAAAAGAAGGCAGGTGCTGGATGTCGCAAAGACGGGCATGTGTGAAGGGGCCACTCAGTGATGAGCAGGTGGGCACCAGGCACAGGGGCTTCCACTGCCTACGAATGGAGAAACGATCCTCAGAGGGGTCAGGGGCCAGGGCAATGCCAGGAAAGGTTCGGTGCAGCTGGAGGGGAGGGAGCTCCCAGAGTGCAGGGGACAGCATGGAGGACCACCTGTGGAAGGAACATGGGGGTGGAAGCACCTGGCACAGAGCAGGGCTCAAAGAGCCCAAGAGGACAGAGGGAGATGGAGGCAGGCGGGGTCGGGTTGCTGGTGGCAGTGTCTGTCCAGGTGAGTGCCCACAAGTCTCACTTCTCAGGCTGGCCCAGAGCTCATGCTGGGCACCTACATGCCTCCTGCAGGGTGGGGACAGTGGGGGCGGGGCTTCAGATGTGCCTAGGGCTGGTCTGGTGTAGCTTGCAGAGGGTCCGGCAGGGTAGAAGCAGCAGTGCTGGCATAGGAAGGGTGGGGCAATTGGCACGTGGGGGCAGATGGCTGGCCGGTGTGCGGTCTAGTGCCCGCTGCCGCTGGAGTCGGGGCGAGGCTGGCTCGTGGCGAGGTATTTGGCTCTCATGCTGGAGGTGTACTAGAGGAGAGAGGGAGGGAGGAAGCAGGGTCAGCTGGGTTTCTGGGCAGGACTGAGCAGCCAGTAGCCTCACTGATGTGGGCCTTGGTAGGGTGAGCCACAGCCGACCCTTGGGGGGCAGAACGCAGCAGTGCAGGGCGTGGTTGGCAGAATCCTACGGTAAGAGCTGCTGGCCCAGGGCCAGGACCAAGGACTGGGTACAGATTAGGGAAGGATGGAGGCTAGCCTCTATAACCCAGGCTGGGCCACAGAGGCAAGCTTCCTTTCCCAATTAAGTCCCTTATTGTCACTAAACCACTCCTAGAGCCCCAGTTGGATACTTGCTACTTCAAAGGCCCTAATTGCATCACACACGCCAAGAACCTGAAGGCCACACAGACCCCATCTCTACACCACTGCTTTAGAGCTCTGCCCTGGGCCAAGACAAGGTCTCCCAGGGCAGGTCCGCATGAAGCTAGGCCACAGCCTACTGCTGGGGAGTCCACTGGAGTCAGGAGGCTTAAGCCTCCCCGCCCCCAGCCATCAACTCCATTGCTCCCAGGAAAGGGGAGTGTCAGGCTAGAGTGACTCTGTCCACCCCTCAGATGGGGACACTAACTCTTCCAGATGTGTGCTTTGAGATGGAGGTGAACAGCTGGTTCTGCATATTACAGTCTGCACATTTTGGCCACCCTAACAGTAGCACAGGTATAAAGGTTTGGGTAGTGCATCTGTGTGGGGTGTACGTGTGTGTGTGTGTGTGCGTGTGCATGCACACAGAGGATGTGCCAATGCCAGGCAGTGTGCAAAGGGTTTGCATTCCTGTATCAGGGACAAAGGTCACCACTGCTCAGAAGGCTGAGCAGGCTGACTCCCACCCACCCTAAGGAGCACAGGCTGGCTTCACAGTCCCCAGATGAGAGGGACAATGCTCCTGGGGACTTGAGTGCTTCCTTGAAACATTCTAGGTTAAGGTCGCGGGCAGCGGCCGTGGAGCAGCAATAGGAGCAGCAGGGGCCCCAGAGCCATGTCATTCCATGGACATGCAGCAGTGACAAGGGACAGGAGGTTGGGATGGGACACTGGTGGGATGGGACAGAAGATGGCAGCCCAGAGACCTGGAGGAGCCCAAGCAGGCATTGGGACAGGGACAGGGGTTCATACCCATGTGAGCACACCTGTATACTGTGTGCATGGGCCAACATGCAGGACCACATACCCAGGGACCCAACTCTGCATCCAAGGTCAGATGCACAGAGGGTCTGGGTAGAAGTGACAAGATGGGCTGGGCCTCCTGCAGCTGATGACAGTAGAGTCAGGCCTGGAATGGGGTTCACTGTGATAGCAGTGGGCTCAGGACCACTTCAGAGGCCTCTGGTCCCCCAAACAGTGGATGGGGGACAGTGGTGAGCAGAGGGTGCAAGGCATGGAGGTACAGGCGGGCAGCCGTGCGGGGTGGGGGGCTGGGCGGGTCAGTACCTGTCACTCTTTGAGGGTACAGCTACCACAGTGTTCGGGCGCTGTCCATGGGTTTAAACTGCCAGCCTGCATGGCTGCCAGAGTCCAGGGCAGCCAGGTAGCGCTAGGAGGGCCCAGGGTGGGAGGGATGCAGGAGAAAGAGAGAGAGAGGGGTGTCCTCAACGCCAGGCATGGCCGGCCCCAAGTGGACCACAAGACCAGAGGGCAAGGGTGAGGGCAGTCGAGTGTGACACAGAGACCAGACAGTTCCTGGTCCAGGTCCTTGGCACCCTGGCTCAGCCCTGTGCTAGGGAACATTGTGGTGTTGTGGAAGACACACTGCAGATGTTCCTAAAACAAGGCGGCCTTCAGCCTCTTAGAGCCTGTCCTCACAGCCCAGTCCTCAGGGGAGCCCCAGGGGCCCCCACATTTCCAACAGCACCTACTCTTTGACACCAAATCCACCCTGATTCTTTTGTCTACAGCTCACTCCTGGGGCTTGGAAGAGACATCAGGCCTGGGTTAGAACAGCCTGGGGCTGAGACATGGGTGGATGCTTAGGGAGAGGGACAGAGGGACGGAGGGAGGTAGGGAGGGAGAGAGGGAGGGAAGAGACAAATGGAAGAAAGGAAAGAGAAGGGAGGAGAGAGAGATGGAGGAAGGGATGGAGGGGTGGGTGGAGGACGGAAGGAAGGAAGAAACAGGGCTCTAATGATGGAGCTGCCTTGCGGAGGCTTTGGGAAGCCCAGGGTAAAGATGGGAAGAGAGTACTGGGGCCCTGCTGGCCACCTGCTTATCTCAAGAAAGAACCAAGGGCTAACTGCTAGGTAGCAGGACCCCAAGATTGCCCACGCTAACCCCCAGGCCCCTCAAGAGTGCCAAGAGCTGGAGGACCCACCCAGTCTGATTTGTTTAGGCCCTGGTATTACAGGCCCACAGCTTTCTCAAGAGCCCAGGCAGCCAGTGAGAGACAACACCAGGGTACCATGGCGACAGACTGTAGAGCCCTCAAGCCAGAGAATCTCCCCACCCACCCTCCTGCCCTGAGACTTACTGAGGGCGGTGGGGACTCGCGCCCAATGAGGGGGGTGTTCTCACAGCGGGGATTCTGGAAATTGGCATTCTGGCTCCTGAGTGGAAGGGGAGAGAGAGCACGTGAATGGTCATGGGCCATATGGTCCTTACTCTGGGGGAAATGGCCCATCTTTTTATTGTTTTATTTTGTTTTAGATAGGGTCTCGTGTAGCCCAGGCTGGCCTCTAACTTGCTATGTAGCCAAGGATAACCTTGAATTCCTGATCTTCCTGCCCCTACCAACTGAGTGACGGGATTACAAGTGTGACCACTTTAGAGCCAGACAGGTCCTATGCCTGGCCAGCTCTGCCCATGCTAACTTTGTATAGTGTCAAGCTCAGAACAGTCCTCCATGAACGCCGGCTTCCCTGGCAGTCAGAACCCATCTCCCACTAGTTTACCGGCCTACCACAAAGGCACACACCCTCCACCTGGCCCTGTGGCCACCCCATGGCCATTCCACCTGAAGCCCTGGCTGCCCAGCCTTGGTGAGAGTGCCCCCCACCCCTTTTCCTGCAGCTGTACAGGCCCTGCACCCCGCCTCCCCATCCCCTCTGAGAGCCCGATAGTCCGCAGGCTCCGCAGTTGTGTATGCACACCATCCCCGGCCCTACCTCTGCCTGTTCCCAGCCGTCACAACTCACATGTACTCGGTGACTGGCGCATTGCTGACGGTGTGGGCGGCAGCTGGGATGCTGGCCTCACTGCCGTAGCTGCTACCGCAGCTGTACAAACTGGGCATGTGCACTCGGTAAAGGCTGTCGTGTGCCTGCCGTGGCCCCGGAGCATTGTCCTCTTCTCCATCCTCATCTGGGCCTCTGCAGGGAGGGACAGCGGCACAGGCTCAGTGTGCTTACTCTGGGGTGCTGATGTGTGGCAGGACCGCGGGCTGCTCAATCTGTCCTCTGAGATGCATCGTTCCCTGAGTTATGGGGTCCTCTTTTGGCTTTGTGGGGCTTGTTCTCAACCTTGGGAGGCCTGAGGTAACCTGCCCTGCTCCCTTCTGGCTTCCCACCTTCTGCTCCGTTACTGGCCGTGGGACAGACTTCGGTTGTTCTACAGCAGCCCTGTGCCTCTATTCCACATGGACTGCAAGGCGAGGCCACCGTGTGGGAAGCACTCAGAGGTGGGAGCATCTGGTGTGACCATGATGAGCCCTGCAGGACCTCATGCATAGCTCTCACCTGGCCCTCGATAAGTGTTCTTTAAAACAAGAATTATTAGCTGGGTGTGATGGCACACACTCGAAAAACCAAAACTAAAAACCACCCCCCCCCAAAAAAAAAGGAGAAAGAATTATTTTTTATTTTTTTAGAGTCAAAGCTTTTCTGTTGTCTTGAAACTCTCTTTGTAGACCAGGCTGGCCTTGAACTCACAGAAATTTGTCTACCTCTGCCTCCCAAATGCTGAGATTAAATTGTGCCACCACACCTAATTTTTTTCTTTTTAATTATTTATTTTATGTGCATTGGTGTTTTGCCTGCATGTATGTCTGTCAGGGTGTCAGATCCTCTGGAATTGGAATTACAGACAGTTGTGAGTCACCAAGTGGATGCTGATTGAACCAGGTCCTCTGGAAGAGCAGTCAGTGCTCTTAACCGCTGAGCCACCTCTCTAGCCCCTATTTTATTTTTAATTTTGTGTACTTGTATGAGAAGAGGGTTCGTGCACCTGAGTGCAGGTGCCTGTGGAGACCAGAAGAGGGCACTGGCTCCCTTGGAACTGGACTTCAAACAATTGTTAGCTGCCCAGCGTATGTGCTGGGAACTAAACTCTAAACTTGGGTCCCATGGGAGAGCAGTGTACACTCTTCACCCTGATCCATCACTCGGGCTCCACAACATGTGACCTCTTAGAGCTCACTTTGACAACAGCAATGTGGTGACCTGACCTGTTCAGTCACACAGCAAGCAAGAGTAGAGTCAGGACCTGAACAAGCATGAAGGTCCAGGGCTCATGGCTACTCTCCTACAGTCTCCTTGTATGTTACCACTGTCATCAGCACTACCATCAACCACCGTCACTACTGCCAGAGCCACCAGCACATCCTCAGCACCATCACCATCGCCGCCACCATCTCTGTTGTCACCAGAGTCACCATGGCCATCATCACCACAATCGCCACCATCATTATCTCTGTTGTCACCAGAATCACCACCGCCATCATCACCACCATCGCTACCATCACAACCACAGCTACAACTCACTGTCACTGTGACTTCTACTACTGTTCCCAACATCCCCATCACCAGAACTACATCAAACCGCAACCATCGCTAGAATCACGATTGTCACCATCATCCCCGCTAATATCAGCCATTCCCATCATCGAGCACCATCAGTACCGCCACCATCCCCACCAAAATCACCACCACTGCCACCATTACAACCATCACCATCTTCATTTTCACCACCACCAGCACCAGGCTGTTATCAACACCACGACCGGTACCACTGGCACGACTGCCACCATTGCCATTGTCACTACTGCCATCTTCGGAATCATTACCGCCATTATCGTAACCACCTTTATTATCATGAGCAGCAGGATCACATCACCATGATTCTACCACCACCATTCCCAGCACCACCTCAAACATCACCGCCATTTCCATCACCACCACAAACCACCCATCCTCATCATCCCCACCATCATCATACCCTCTTGGAACTGATTCTCTCTGTAGACCAGGTTGGCTTCGAACTCACCGAGATCCACCTGCCTTTGCTTCCCGAGTGCTGGGACTAAAGGTGTGCGCCACTTCTCCCGGCCATCACCACCTGCTTTATCACCACTATCTCCATCACACTCAGAGGGAAAGGGAGCAGAGTAACAGCACAGGCACAGGGGACAAACCTGAGCCGACATACTTGCCATCTCAGTTGGACCACAAACAGCATAGTGACCCCAGGAGGAGGAGCTGAAAGGGCTAGGAAGCCTGACTCTCCCAGGCTGAGGAGACCAAGACAGGAGCCGTGAAGACTCCTGGCTCCAAAGATAAGGACACAATGGCCCCATCTGGATCCCCAGCAGGATATGGCCACCTGAACATCCTCCTACAGGAGCCAAGTCCTCACCACCCACAGCTGTGCACATCTGTCCCTGGGACCACAGAAGATACAGTCTGATGTAGTCTTCACGGAGTAGGGCATAAAGTGAACACAAGGGGGCAGGAGAGCCTGGCTCTGACCTGCCTGCCCTGGACGGAAATTTTTGCTGCCATCACTGCTCCAATCATTAGCACAGGCTCTGGGAACAGCAGGCAGCCCCCAACATGCCTCAGAGGCCTGGGAAGCAGTAAGCGCTGAGGAAGTGTATGCCTCTCACCGCTGGAGACAGGACCAAGTGTCCAGAAGGGCCAAATTCCAGGACCCCAGGGAAAGCCTCACCTCTTCTGTTGCCAGGTGTGCGGAACGCTGCAGACGATGGAGCTGAACATGAGGGCCGTGACGAAGGAGAAGAGGGCCAGGTAGATGAGGCCCTCGACACCATCGTAGCAGAAGCCTGTCAGCGCCTGCACGTAGTCCTGAGCCGGAAGAATGGGACACGATGCCAAGGACAGGGAGAGAATTGGGGACAAGCAGTGAGATCAATTTGCTAGGCCACACTGGATGTTCCTTACACAAGGCAGTGTAGAGGGCCCGCCATCAACCCAGGGACCATAAATCTCTTTCTGGTGGCTCCCCTCTGCCCCGCCCCCGGATGCCCAGCGACCTTACCAGGTGCAAGCTCCGGCAGTCCACCAGGGCGGTGAGGTGCTGGAGATTCACCTCCGTGCCATTTAGCACTTCCTGGATTCGGAGCAAGGGATCCTGGGGTGGACACAATACTTGATGTCAGGATAACTGGGAAGACCCAAATGAGCCATGGAACCCCCAGTCTCCTTCCATCTCACAACTAGTCACAGAGCCCATCCCCTGAACCCTGACTCCATGCCAGCCCCTGAGGGTCTTCAGAAAAAAAAATGGCAAGCCTGGGTTCTGTGCCTTGGAAACACAGGGACCAGAGAACCCACAGATACCTGTCCAATGCAGTCACTGCTAAGATAGATTTAATTTAAATTAATTTTCTTGTCAAGAGTCTTGCTACATACTGTAAGATGGCCTCAAACTCACAATCCTCCTACCTCAACCTCTTCAGGGCTGGGTTAGGGGTATGCGCTACCACACCTGGCTAGATTTCCTTCAGTGTCATGGGAGAACCTGACTCACTATGTGTCCCCGACTGGGCCTCGTTCTGCTCTTAAAACATATGTTGGGGGGCAGAAGGAATGGCTCAGCAGTTAAGAGCATCGGCTGCTCTTTCAGAAGACCCAGGTTGGAGTTTCAATGCCTACACAGTGGCTCACAACTGTCTGTGACTCCAGTTCCTGGGGATCTGATGTCCTTCTCTGGCCTACACAAGTACCAGACACTTATGCAGGCAAAACACCCATTACATAAAATGGAATTAAAAATAAATTTTACAAAAGTCAGATTTTAGGCTGGTTGTGGTAGACAAGCCTGCAACCCCAGCATCCCAGAAGTACATGCAGGCTGCCTCTTGAATGCTGACTAATGGAAAGTGTCACCTCACCTGGCTATGGAACATTATTAACAGATTGGAGCTTGTATCGGGAACACAGAACCTGGTATGATGGACTGGGTCCCCAAATTGTGGGCTAAAGGCCCAACCCAAACCCCTAGAAAGTCACAGTTTGGAGAGAGATCTTTTTCTCATTTCCTTTTTGCAGTGCTGGGATGGAACCTAGGAATTCCTTGCATGTGCCTGCCAAGTTCTTGGTCACTAAGCCCTCCCTCCAGCTTACCTAGAGACCTGTGGGCTCACTGCAGTTCAGGCAGGACTCTCACTCCCTACGGAGCAGAGGAGGAGTTTGAACTCCTGATCCTCCAGACTCTACCTTCCTAGTACTGAAAGTCAGGTATATGCCACCACACCCAGCCAGGCCTTGCATTTTTGAGACAGGGTTTGGCCATGTAGCCCAGGGTTAGCCTAGTATTCAAGATCTCGCCTCAGCCTCCTGAGTCCTATGATCACAGGCGTAGCACTACGCCAAGCTTGTATTACTTTTTAGTTATAAAGAACAAAAACATTTTATTTGGTGTGTGTGTGCACGCGCACGCGTGTGTACACAAGCATGCCACAGTGAACAAACTGAGGTCAGAGGACAGCTTGTAGGAGTCACTTCCTTCCACCATGTGGGTCTCAGGGATTGGACTCAGGTTGCCATGTTTGGTGGTAGAGACCCTTACATTCTGAGCCACCTCAGCCTCCCAGATATTTTATAAACCCATGAGCAATGCCCAGGAAAAGGGGGTAGAAGGTAAAGGAAGGAGGGTTAAAGGCTATGGGAACAGAAGGGGAACAATCAAGACCCTCAAGTTTCTGTTCGTCAGAGCCACTGTTGCCCACAGCCCCTTACCTTGGTGGCTGGGTGCTCCTTCGGGACACTCCTCAGCAGCTCGGCCACGACATCCTGCATTTCCACCAGAGCTTTGTGGCTTCCGGACAGCTTCTGCTCCACGGAGAAGTGTGGAATCCAGCAGCTGCCTGCTGCTCTCCCACCCCCGTTCTCCCACCCCAGTGATCTCCAAGATCCCACGTCGGCCAGTTATGCCTGACTCCACCCTGTAGGCTACAGGTCACCCCTTCTCCCTGAAGGTGCCCACACAGGGGATGATACACACCCCTGAGGTGGTAACAAAACCCTGCGCCCACTCCAGAGAGCAAAGTAAAGCACTGTCAATGGAGGTGTGTCTTCAGGATGCAAAGGGTACCCTCACCCCACCGGGGGGACAAGTAGTGGGTACAGGGTATGGCTAGTTGGGGCTGCCAAACTCTTCAAATGCCACCGCTGAGACCGCTGAACAGGTGGCATTTTACAGAGGTGCTCCCAGGGCTCCTCCCATACCTGTCTACATTTGGTAGTCAGCTAGCCTTTGTCCTGCAGGGTTGCTGAGGGAACCCCAAAGAATGAAAGGCACCTCAAGGATCCACATTAAATAGGTCACTACAAGGATGGGGCGAAAGATTAGCATCCTCCGATGTGAGTTTGCACAGAGCCTAAGGGGCCAGTAGCTTCAGCCATGTGGGCTTAGAGGACAAGCTCATGGCCCTTTCCGCCTCTTCCTGCACCCTGTGTCTCTGGCCTTGGCCACCCAGGACCAGTCTGGCTCTCACCTGTTGGAAGGGGTTGGTAGCACGGGGCGAGCAAGCCAAGTAGTATTGCAAAATGTCTGTGAAAAGAGGGAGGAGGTGCTGAGGACAGTCCTGTCTGTGTCTGCATACAAGTACATGCATTGTCCTCAAGTGGGCCTGCCTGCATCTGGGTGCCTACATGCGCCAATGCTTGCAAATGATGCATGTTTGTATCCCTGTGCGTGCGCATACTTGCATGTACATGAATTTACATACATGTGTATGAACGCTTGTGCTTGTGTGTGAGGCTGAGCAGTGACCTCCAGGGAGACTGTGGCTGAGCCAAGATCCTGTCCTCAGAGTGGGCCTCTGAAGGGTGCAGGACACTCAGGGGTGGGTTTTCCTGTTCTGAAGCAGTGATAGTGGGCAGAGTGGGGTCTCTATGCCAGCACCCACCCTCAGCTTTAGGTTCTGTGTTTCATTCGGTCTCTAGGCACACGGGCTGTAAGAGCAGGGACGGCTCCTCAATCTCTTCCTGTATCCAGCATATCAGGAAGTCCTGTTGGTCCCACCTTGAAGAGCATCTCTGCCCACTTCCACCTGCTCAAGCCTCCATTGCCTCCACTGTCTGGGGCCTGTGGCTGACAGCTTCCCCTTGCTTTGCCCTTCATGTCAGTCAGCAGCCTTGGGAAGCTTTTGTTTGTATTTTTGTGTTTTTGAGACAGTTTCACCCATGTTGGCCAGCAACTCAAGCTCCTACTACTCCAGCCTCCCGAGTACGGGGATTCAGGGCATGTGCCATGCCCAAGCTCAGGAGGCCTTTACCGGGATTATCACGTGTCTTGGTACTCTCTCTCCTCCACCACAAGAAAGCCTATACTCCCAGCTGTGCCGCAGCCTCCTGGCTTCCCACTCTCTGTTCCCAATTAGCGGCCTCACAAACATGGCTGGGGCTTCCGCCTCAGGCATCCACTAGAGTTGCAAGCTCCTGAGCAGGTGTCTAACCCCCTGGCTGCCCACTTGGAAGCAGCCTGGAACACCAGCTTCCTGGCCTGTACCATGCCTGCCTAAGGTCAAAGGCTTGTATGGGTAGGGACGCCTCAGCCTTGTCCAGTCCCACACATGGTCACAGACTCACCCCCACTCAGCACTGAGTGCTCCTCCACCATCTTGGTCACAAAGGTGTCAGGGTCTACGCAGAAGTCGCTGGAGCCCTGAAATGGGTGAGGCATGAAAGGGCAGGTGACCAAGATGGGCCTCAGAAGCAAGCCATGACCACCCAGAGATCTCAGGGAGATTTTGTTCCTCACCCCCCAGGGTCTCCCCTTAGTTTATTGAGGCAGAGTGGGATATAAGGAGCATGGGTCTGTGTGAACCAGGGCAAGATGACAGGGGACAGAAGTATGGCTTTTTCCTCCCAACCAAAGCCCATTAGATGGGGATTCCTGGTTCCCCTTCCACTCACCACAGACACGGCCAGCTCCAAGCCCAGTGCACCCCAGCTGATGACCAGGGCCAAGACACCCAGCAAGCAGACCCTTGGGGCAAAGAAGGCCCGTCAGGCTGGGAATAGGGGGTAGGGGACATGCCACACACACAGCTGCAGCACAAAATGCCAGGCCCTGTAAGCCTGGGCGGTCCGTCTGACCCACACAAGACAGTTGAGTCTTCCCGTGACCTGGTCTCAGTCACTCAAGGCCCAGGACCTACACAAACGCTCCTCCCAGCAAGGATGAGACTCACCCTGTGAGTGCATGGCTGGGGACAAGTGACAGCAACCTAGGCTTGGGTCGGAGACCTTGTGGCAGTCTAGGTCTCCTACATCCTGTCTACATGAGCCCTTGATGGCGTCAACCCCTCCGAGTATGCCAATCACGCCCATTCCTATGCATGGCTGGCTCTTCCCTCCCTCAGGCCTGCTCCGGCCACACAGGGCTCCCTGCTCTTCCACACATCACCCAGCCGCAGGTCTGCCTATCAGCCTGCACACTTTCCCCAGGGTCCACGCATCACTTGCTCTTGAGGGCCTCAGCCCCGCCATCCCCTCTCTTAGAGCGCCTTGCTGCATCACACACACTGAAGAGGGCCCTGGCTCTGGCTCCGCTTCCCATTTCAGCACCACCACCTGACCCTCAGCCCCGGCAGGTTCATCTGTTCATCCTTGCGAGGCATGGAGGTGCAGGGGCTGGAGGGTCATGGGGGCTCCACAGTGCCAGACCCACACAGTAACTGTAAGGCGGCTGCTCAGGTGGGACAGTGATATCATCCCGCAGCCACCCCATTGGCAAGTTGACATCTTTGTCTTTCAGAGGAGACGGGTTTGGCCCCGACAGGTCAGCTGTTCAAAGTGGCTGACACGGTAAGAAGCTGAGCTGAGCGGGGACCCAGTCAGGTTGCCTGGTGTCCCCCACCAGAGTAGCTATACGTAAACCCTGTGCAGACTCTCCTGCGGAGGGGCATAGCTAAAGACTATACACAGGCAAGTGGCTCATGGCACTGGTCACAGCAGTGTGGCATCTCTGGGAGGAAGCCTGCCCTTAGGAGATGCTCATGGCCAGAGCCTTGTGGGTCTCACTGACAGAAGGAGACAGAGTTATGTCATCCCACACCATCACTCCATCCGTGGGCCCATAGGGCCCATCTTCCCCTTAGACTCACCCAACCAGGATACCCTTGGAGCTGCGGATAAGGCCCACCAGCACCAGGAGGCAGATGATGACATCAAGCAACAGCAGGCCCAGGTACCCCAGCCACCTGTGGACACACACAGGTGTGGGCCAGGCATGGATAATGGCTGGGCAAATAGCCCAGGACTTAGTCTTTTGGGTCAGGGTCTTGCCATTTAGCCCAGGCTAGCCTGGTGCTCACAGCCCCTTTGCCTTGGCCTCTACTGTGTTGGGATTATATACCACCAAGTCTGACTTGATGTCAGTTCTTGAAAAAGACAGCACCACCTCCTCCCGCAGGGATTCCTGCTATGGCTGGCAACCTCAGGCACTAGGTACAAAGTGGTCCAGGAGGGTGATGCTCTACCCAGGTGGAGTGGGCCCTAGGGGGAAGGGTCCACCCCACCTGGCTCACCTGTACCAGTCATAGAGGTCCACCTGTTCAGCCAGCACCTCCAGTGATATGCCGGGGTTCCTCCAAAAGGGGATGGCAGCAGTGTAGCCCAACAGTGTCCCCAGAAGGCTCTGCAGCCGCTGCACGGCCCTCAGTGGCTCCTGTCGCCCGGCCAGCTGCCGCTCCAGGGTCTGTAGGTTGGGCTCTGCTGTGCGGTTCAGGGCTCCAGCGGTATCCCACACCTGTGAGGGGAGCAATATGAGCCGGAGCCAGGTGCAGAGCAGATCATCCCACATGCACATAGAAGGTTCTAGAGCAGAAAGGACGCTCCCCAGCCAGTCACTCACGCGGTCCTGGACCCCTGCCACTGTGCGGTTGGCATGGCGGAGTGATTAAGTGGCTCGATGAACACCATCGCTGGTCTCCCCGTTGCCATAGAATCCCACGGCGATGCCCGCGCTGGGGGAGGTAGAGCCATCAGATGCAGAGCTTGCAGCCAAACCTTCCCACCGGCCCCCGGCTCCTTGCCCCTATCCCTTACTCTCTTCAATCTACGTCTTAATGGCCCCACTCCATCCTTTAGGCCCTGGGTCCCACCTTTTTCTTCCGATCCTGCCCAGACTTCCCCGCCCCATTCTCTAGCCTCCCTAACCACACCCCCAAGCGACCCCGCCTCCAGCCCCTCCCTCCTGAACAGTCACAGGCTTGGGTTGGCCCTCTCCTGCTCACCTGCAGACCAATGTGGCAATGATGACGCACCAGGCGGTGCAGCAACAGTCGGCTTCCAGGTGTTCATCTGTCTTCCGCCGCCGGCAGCATAACCAGAAGGAATAGAAGAGCAGGAAGAGAAGGTCGAGGGCCAAGCAGGCCAGGGCGGCGGCCCCCAGCAGCAGTAGCGCCTGTGAGCAGAGGTAGACAGAAGGGCGTTGGAGGGTGTGGGGCTAGGGCGCAGTCCCATGTCAGCCCTTCTTCCCAAGGGCTCTGCATTTTTTTTAAGTTTGCCTGAGCACGTGCTTTCTCCAGTAAAGAAACTTTGAAAGCCAAGTGTTGGGTGGCACATTCCTGTAACCCCAGAATTCTGGAAGCTGAGGCAGGAGAATTGCTGTGAGGTGGCATCCAGCCCCAGCTATACGGTGAGTTCAAATTACGACAGAACTCTATTTCAAACAAAACAAAACAAAACAAAAAAGCCAGGCAGTAGTGACACACTATTTTAATTCCAGCCTTCTGGAGGCAGAGGCCGGGGGTTCAAGGCCAGCCTGAACCTGTGTGTTCAAGGGCAGGCTCCAAAGCTACACAGAAAAACCATAGCTCTCAGTGGCCAAGAGCACTGACTGCCCTTCCCAGGTAGCAGGGTTCCATACCCTGCACCCAGAGGTCAGCTCACAGTTGTCTGAAATACTACTGAAAGGTGCCCTCTCCTGGCCTCTGAGGGTATGAGGCACACTGTGGTGCAAAATACCAATGCACATAAAACAAAAATACATAATTTAAAAACAACAACAACAACAACAACAAAAAGCTGGGTCTGTAGATGGCTCAACAGATAAAAGTGCCTGCTACCAAGGCGGACACCGTGAGTTCAATCCCAGGACTCTCATGGTGGAAGGAGAGAACGCCCCTGACTCTCTCTAGTCGTACTCTGTGGAATATGCCCCCCCCCCATCATGTGTCAAGAGAAATAGAAAGGACAGGCTAGTAACCATGCATTCTCTTAGGAGCCACATGACAGGAAATGTGGTCTCCGCTCACTTCCTGTGCAGGGTACGGAAGCAGGGTGTTGTTCAGCGTCAGTTACTGGTCAATGGGGCAGCGGAAGGATGCTGAAGAGTTACTTTTTCTGAGGTGACCCAGACTGTCCCCAGACTCCCTGATTCTGCGCTTTTCCTGGCCCCATCCCAACCTCTGCTCCTCCTCAGTCAGGGAGGGATTGCTGATGGCTCTGGGACAGGTGCGCCATCCTTGGGGCCTATGCCTGAGGAGCTAGAGAGGCAGAACAACCCTTTGCCTGCCCCCCCCCCCCGGGACCACAGGCTGCTCCATCAACAACCCTGGCACCCAGTGGGCCATTTCCCAGGAGACAGTTGCCAGGCAGCAAAAGGATGGCGTTCCCTGCCCTCCCAGAAGCCAGCTGGCTCCCACACCTGGAGGCAGGCCTCCGCATTTTCCATCTGGCCATGAGGTGCTGCCTGTACGTCCAGTCAATGAGGGCCAAGAACTAGATTTCTGTAATCCAGAGCCATGGCGCTGCCCTGGAGGCTGATGGGCCACTGGAGATGGGACCTCTGCTTGTGGCATAGTGCGGAAAAAAACTCAGGGAAAGGCCAGCTCCACCTTGACGCTACAACCCATCCCCCACCAGCTCCACCCTGTCCCTCTACCCTGTACCCTGGAGCTACCCAGCAGTCTGAGTGCTGCTAGGCACCAGACAAAGGCATCTTACTGTTTTTGCAGTGTACAGTATAGGCCCACCATCCCTGCACAGAGGGGAATAGGTGCAGTAGGGGTGGCAGAGCTACCCTGTGAGCTCTAGTGCTTACATCAGAAAGGCCTCCAAAGCCCAGGCCGGCTGGCCCAGGAGTACACAGGGAGGTGGGGACAGGAGCATGCCAGTTTGCAGCAGGCAAGGCAGACAGAACCTAGGACACGCCTATACAGGGCACAGGCCAGTCACAGCGTTCTCACACAGCGGCCATGAGTAATCACCAGCACACTTGAGCTACAATATCCCCTGGCTTTCGTCTGGATCTGTTGTCGCCTGCTTACACCTAGGCCTGGGCCAAAGGTGCCAACCCACTGCAGGTTCCCTCGTCACAAGTCAGAGGCAAAGGGCTGTACAAGCCTGTGAGAGCAACTGATCACTCTCTCCCTGGGGGCCAAAGATACCTGCACTTCCATGAACAGGGCCATCCTAGGGCTCCCCATGTCAACCAGTCCCAATTTGGGCCATACATCTAGAATGTACGTTTTCTCACTGGAGAGCAGTTCGGGTTGGGTCCCAGACTCATGACAGGCACCAGGCTTTGGCTCTGTGGCTAGGGCGGGCCTGTGCACCCAGTATTACTTGGTTGATGCTAGGACCACATCCTCCCATTTGCTAGAAGAGAAAACAGGTTTTATAAGATAAGTTCCAATCATGGCAGGATCTGGGGTGGGGGTGGCAATTCTGCTCACAAATGGCACTACTGTGTTGTAGAGGGCTGATGCTCACAAAATGCCACAAGATGCCAGGGACATTTAGGGACCCAGCTGGCAACAGCCTCTGTACAGGGAGGTGATCTTGGCACTAAGCTTACTGAAGGGAAGGAGATGGGCCATGAATAGCTGAATGCTGGCTTGTGAGACGGCTCAGCAGGCAGAGGCTCTTGCCGTCAAGTCTGAAGACCCAAGTTCGATTCTCGAGAGCCACATGGTGGAAGGAGAGAACTAACTCCTATAAGTTGTCCTCTGACCTCCACACATACACCATGGCATGTAAGATGGGTGTACAAGACACACATGTACAACACATAAAGAAAAAAAGAAAAGAAAAAAGATGGGCAGGGATGTCAGGCCATCTGTAGTGAAGAGCAGCCAAGGTCAGTGTGTGAAACTGAGTCTGTGGAGTCCCCAGGGAAATACAGACTTGGGAATAAAGGTGTTGAGCTCCATCTTTGTGGGGAGTCCCTAGGAAAATCTACATGTCCTCAGGCGGGTGTGGGGGGAAAGCCAGGGAAAGCACACACCCTCGTCCACATTCAAACATTCAGGCCCTGTGTCCATACATCTGCTCACAGCTGCACCCACACACACCAGTGCCAATAGGTGCGGCTTCGTGAGCCCCAGGGCGTTTATGCTCTTATGGGTGCGCATGGCTTTAATCACAGCACTGGGGGCAGAGCAGTCGAATCTCTGTTTGAGGTCAGCTTAGGCTATACAGTGAGTTCCAGTTTAGGAGAGAGAGAAAGAGAGCCTTAAAAAACCCGTCACCCAAAACTGGTACCCTGGGGCTCAAAGAAAGGGAGTCACCCAAAATCCCAAAGCCCGTGAAGATCTATAGGTAATGACAGTCACAGCAGGTGCCTAGCATTCTCAATTTCTTACTCTTAGGGCGGCCAAGGAAGGGTTCATACCCATCTGTCCATGTTCTCCCTGATTCCACCCTGGTCTGGCCTTCTCTGGGAAGCCCTTTCTGAACATGTTTCTACCCTTCGTGCCTTGGGGTCTGCTTGCATATTGTCAGTGGATGGCTGGAAGGTGTTGCCAAGCTCACAAATGAGGCAGGAACGACACTAACTTCACTACTGAAAGCTAAGGGGAGACTATCCAATCAACTCAGGACTTGTGCTCAGAGAATGTGTTCAACCATAGCAGGGATAAATTGAGATCTCCGTTCCCCGAATTCCAAGAAGCCGGGGGAACTTTCTGGCTCCATCTATTCCTCCCAGATGGGGCCAACTGTAATGAGTGCTGAGGCCAGGGGCAGCCAGTAGACTCTGTCCCAGCTCCAGGAATAAAAGGGATAGCACCCTCCGATTTACACTGAGAAAAAGCATGTCAGCATAGACACCTTGAGGCCCTGTGGGACAGCCGGCTGAGACAGCATGGCCTCCTCCTAGTCTCTGAGGCCAGATCCCCAGGACATGCTTCTGTGGGGGCACCAGGCCAATGTATTCACTGGCAGAGCAGCCACCACTGCCCACAGGCCATTGAGGATGATAATGGGAAATGCCACTCAGCATCTAGGCTCTGGCCACATGGAATTTTCCGTCTATGGTAAAAGTGATCTAGAGGCTCAGGCGGGTGAGGCAGGCACCCATCCCTGTCCTAAGCTCCTGGCCAGTGTGGGCTGCAGGAACCAGGCTCTTGGTTAAGGTAGGTAAGGACAGCACCCTCCTTTCCAGCTCCCAGTGGCCTCCTATTGTGACTGTCCCAGCTCCCCAGGATGTAAATACCTGTGAGCTCTCACACATGCAAAAGGCCAGAAGCATCTGGGTAGTCGTCTAGAGGGAGTGCACGGCCCCAGTAACATCTACTTTTCTGGATAGAGATGGGCTACCAGGGTCCCGTTTGCCTACTCGGAGTAGGGAAGAGTCACCGCAGCATCGCACCAGCTTTTTCCAAGGAGGGATAATTCACCAAGTGGACCTAAGATAATCAGGATGTAGGCTAGAGTGCATTCCTTCTGGGCCACCAGAGGGCTCCAAGGACCCCCAGCAGCACAGTTCAGCGGCCTTGGGAATCTTAAGTAGAAGTAGGTCTCAGACTGTCATTGTGGGGTCACAGGCTTCTGGCTGGGCACCTAGGAAAGCCAGGGCTCAAAGATGGCTTTGTGATCTAGAGACCAGGATGGGACCAAGGAGCAAAAAGGAATTCAGGGCACAAGGTTGGAACATGCACAGTATGGGTAAGAGAAGGCAGGGAAGCGGGACCCCCACCCCCTGCCAGAGGAAGAGACCACATATGGGGGAGGAGGGTTGTCCAGAAGACTGGCTGGGTTAGGCTAAGACTCCACAGGCATCTTGGGCCAGAGTAAGGAAAGGGGAGGGCCCACCAGGCTGAGCCATGCCTCGGGATCACGAGGGACACACAACTAGCTGAGCATGCATACAGCTGGCTCAGCATGTATAAGCCGCAGGCCTGGTTCCCCGAGTCTGAGGCTTGGGGGTCCCCAGATCACCGAGCAGGAACTTATCTGTGCCTCTAGACATCTAGTGCTGGCCAGGAAGCCCACTCTCACCCCCGCAGTGGGGATCTGGGGGTCCTGGATGGGCTGCCACGGTGCTGAGCTGGCTCCATGACCACGGACGCCCCCACCCCCAACACACTGGGCTGAGGAACCAGTGATGCCGGCCAGAAATTAAAAACAGATTTTCCACCAGGCCAGGCTTGGGTTTCACAAATTCCATGACAGTGAGTT